GCGAACGCACCAGTAGCACCCCCCCTAAGGACGGCCCTGATTCAGACATTAACATCATATTTGAAAACCAGAAACTTAAAAGTTGTTTATTATATAAAATGGATATATAAAATTTTATGGTCAATTAACAATAAGAGTATCCAAAATAATGGACAAAATATGATTTTCAATTCAAGTTTAAATGAACTAAAACTAAAAATGTCACTTGATGTAACCATCAAATAAAAATGTCAAACTTCTTAAAAATAAATAAATAAATATATATATTTTGTTTGTTTTTCAAGGTATACATGTATATATTTTTCAAGGTAAAATATATTTATGAAATAATTAAGTTAAGGAGTTTTTCAAATATTAATTAAATTTTTTGTAAAAATAAATAAATTAAAAAATTAAAAGAATACTAATCAAATAAAAAAATTTTAATCATCTATTGTGCCAAATACATCATATTTTCAAATATTAATTAAAAAGTTAATGAAAAATAATAACTTAATCAAATACATAATGCTCATCTATTATGCCAAACACAAAATAAAGATTTTTAATATCAACCCTGCCATTTTTGTACGTTAACACAAAAGAACATGCATCATCATAGAGGTGTATTCACGTCACCTAATGAATAAAGTGATTTTTTTAAATATATTTTTTAATAAGTTGATCGAAACAAAATAAACATGCCATTGACCGAGAATCAAAATGTGTGTCAAGTATCTGCATTATTTCTTACCTTCCTTTTCTGATGTGTTAGTCTGGACATCTGTTAGAGGCACTGATGAATCGGTCAATACATAAAAAGTAACAAATTTATTACATCTTAAACATTCAAATAAAAACCAAACACTCAGTAATTCTGAATCACCTAAACTTACTGGAAAATAAAACAAAAAAGGAACTCACTGCTGAACATCATGTGAGCGGGAAGCTCTGGGATAGCAGTGTGGAAGGGAGGTGGCATTGGCAAACCAAACGAATGAGGCCTGCCATTTGCCATGTGTGAGGAGCTGTGTGGCATCTCCGAGAGATCTGGAATGTCCTCGTCCTCGTCTTCATCATCCATTTGGTCATCAATCGCCAAATTGCTCACATTTTTGTTACTGTTAGACATTTGAAGGATCTGGTGCACCATGGTTTCTATAGGCGACAGCTCTTGTGCGATTTGGGTGGCCGTGGCTCCCGATGCCCTCATTGCGGCCACCCTCCGCTTGGTGTCACATTTGAGGTCTGCCCATTTCTTGATAACTTCAATAATTTCTCGGTGACACTCACTGACCTCATTGATACGTGCCGTCAGAGCCGCCCATGTGCGGTTTTTCAGATCCTTCGAAATGCCCCGGTTGAACTTTCCTGTTGAACAAGTGAGTTTACTATCCTTCACATATGCAAAGCAGAATTGACATACTTTCAGAGCGTTTTCAGATCCTACTGAACTATGTGATATGAAAATAACAAGGTATGTCTTACCGACTAGAATATGCCGTTGTTTCTGCACCTCACTGAGCAGCAGTTCAACCTCCTGGAATGTGAAACGTGACTTTCTTTTCTTAAAGCGCATCAAAGCACCTCCTGGCCCTCTGTAAGGGTATGGCATGAATTCTGACATCCTTCTTCCTCCGCTCTTCGAAACGAATCACAACCAAATCAAACAGGGCTTCTAGGCAGCATCCATCAGAAGGCTTGATGAACTATATGGCTGAAATAATAACAATAATAAAAAAAATTAATTAAAATCAAAATTATTATTCACCCAGAAGCTTTCAACATCATTTAACTAATCGATTCTCTTCAACCTACCTTGCAAAAAGAAAACGCGCGTGACAACGCTAATTAAACACATCTAACCTGTTCTTACACACTGTCTGTGCCAAAACATCTTAATATGCAGCTTCTGTAACGCGGAGTCAAAATATTAATTTTATTTAAAAGATTTGAAACACTTTATTTTTATTATACATATACACAATTAGCTTTGTATATAACACGTTTCTATACTATACATATATTGATTTATATACTCTGATTTATTATGATCATGTGATTAATGTTGCTCGTGTTCTGCGCTTTAAAAGGACAGAACAAGCACAGACAGAGATTATTTGGTCAAAGCATAGAATCATAGTTTTCTAGGATCCTTTTACTTTAAATTAACTGTTACAACTAATTGCGGCGTGATCTCACACCGCCTCGCCGGTGTGCCCATATGCTTCCTGCTTCTTTGTTGTTTTCCTGCTTAATCGTCAGAGAGCAATAGGAACAGAGAGAATCGAGCGAACGCCATCACGCGCAGACAGCATATATCGCGAGCGTCCAAATCTGCCATTCCTCAAAGATCTCGCGCACAGTATTCGCTCGAACGCGGAAAGATAGATTCAGAAATCGCAACCAGCAAACATTCCGCCAGGAAACCCAAACAGATTCGTATTTTTGGTTGTCGCTAGCCTGCTGGGAAGGAAAAATAGATTAACGTTACGCACGCATTTCGTAGACGCATTTACGAACGAATTTGGAGTCAAATCGAAACTGCGATAAATGTACTCGTTACTGATATTAGTGATAGATTGAGTGGTATTTACCTACAGTGCGGCCGAATGTGTCCTAGGATTTGTCGGTGTAGTCTTGCCCGATAAACTTCGTAGGCAGTGATCCCCTGCGTCGCGCAGACTCAGCTCTACGTGTTTTTCCCCCTCCACAGCGATAGTTCGCCAACATTCTATAGTAATCCTTCCCTATGCCTGTGTGGAAGCAGTTCTAACTACAAGTGCAGACCCTGTGGCCCAGTCTTAGCATGGACATGTTCAACTTACAATTAAACTAAAGTAAATTTAAGTCGCCTTTTATATACATACAAGTTGAATATATCGCGTCAAATATTTGTGGGTTTTGTACGCATTTTTTCCCCAGTCCAACCGGCTATTTTGTGGTATCTGGCAACTTTCAACACTATATACAGAGTTCCAGCAGAAAAAATAAAATAAAATAGTGATTTCTTGGTCTGAAATGAATAAAATATGAAAAGGCAAGGACATTTCTAAAAAATGCATAAATTATTTTCTGGTTATGCCCAGCTGTGAAATATTCAGCTAGATATAATCTGCTAAATAAAGGGCTATTCTTCATAGTGACATGTGCTGGGATTAATTTAGGCCTTTACACAACTGATGCCATTGAAGTTGAAACATTGGATTGTGTTGCAGCTCTTGATCTGTATCTGTGGACCACAGGTCGTTATGTCTCCTCGAGTATCATATATGAAGCAGACGTATAGCGCGGCAACAAAATGAAATTAAATATTTGAGAATCTGTTCAATGTTTACCATCATTTACACAGTTTGGTGATGAGGTGGCCTTGCAATAACACGCCACGCCACCATTTTGAGGTTCTCTCTCTCAGACATGGGGAGTGGCATTGCATTGTCTGTAGCAACCGCTAGGTGGGTGCAGTGAGTTCCTCAAATATACGCGCATGAGTCCGGGGGGGAAAAAAACAAGCTATGTTGAGATTTGGCTCAAGGCTTAAAGGGACAGTTCACCCAACATTTTTTCATATTTTTTTTGACTCACAATTGGCTGACTTTTTTTTTTAGTTAGTTAGGAGAATGCCCCACACTGAGTAACCTTCAGTTTCATTGAATAGAAAAAGACCGATTCAAAGTGAATGGGGACCGAGGTTGCCACTAAAACCATCATTTGCTCCACAGAAGAAAGGCATATGTTTGAAACTAAATAAATAAATAACACAGAAAAAAAATTTCATTTTCGAAATAAAACAATGAAAGAAGAAAGAGTATTTAAAGAATCTAAGCAAGTGGCCCATATATAGCAGGGAAAAATGTCCATCATGAAAACACACCCTTGAACTTTTAAACTGGATTTATTTTTTTTTAAAGCTACTCAAAGTAGACAAAAAAAAATACATTTACCAATACAACTTCAAGACACTGCTTTGTCGGAATTCATAGTTTTCAGTCACGTGAAAATGTCCATCATGAAAACACACCCTTGAACTTTTAAACTGGATTTATTTTTTTTTTTAAAGCTACTCAAAGTAGACAAAAAAAAAATACATTTACCAATACAACTTCAAGACACTGCTTTGTCGGAATTCATAGTTTTCAGTCACGTCGGAACTGCAGCACAAGCCTGTCAATTTTCCATTTGTTTCCAATCCACAAATATTTAGATAATCTCTCAAAAGGATAAAACAAAGATATGTGAACAAAATGCAAGTTTTGGCCATTTGCAATACATATAAAACACCCGCCGCAGTGTTTCAATTAAAAACTGTGACTAAAAAGTTTAATGTGAAAAAACAAAGTGCCTTTAAAACGGTGATATTAACAGATCAAATTCAGTATAAACTTTATTGATGATGCATGCTTTATACAGGCAAGCAGATGAGCTCGCAATATGAGTGTTTTCTTTATAATGGTTTTCTATGGGAAAACATTTAATGTGAAACTTCGCGCATTGCGTTTATATTGTGGTTTCATCTGCTTGCCTGTGCAAAGTCTGTATCATTAATAAGGTGTGTACTGAATTTGGCCTTTAAATATCACTGTCTTACTGCATTACTACTTAATGCAAACCTTATAAATAACTGGCAGTCAGCGGAGAAAAGCCTTGTTTTGTCCTCCAGGTGAGCTTTCGTGTAAGGGGATGTTGTCCCGTGAAAACTATGAATAGTGTTATCACACATGAAAAGTTTTCTGCAGGCTTAAAAAACGAAGATAGCAGTGCTGTTATGTACAATACATAATAATTACAGCACAGACTAGATGACAATATATTAATATTCATTTAACTTTTTCCTTAACGTATTGAAGAACTATGCTGTTGGAACATAATAATATTAATAACTTACTGACATATCAGTAGGCGATAATCCAAATTCTGTAAATAGTCATTTAAAAGAACAACTTAATATTTTGTATCAATATGTGCGCACATTTTCCTACAGAAGACTGTAAATGTGTTCGACAAAGGAAAATCCCATGGTTTTATCTTGCTATTAGCTTTGTGGCCCTCTGATTGGCCTCATTGATGCGGGATTCATTGACCATGGCCTGCAAAAAAAGAATAAAATAAACAGTTAATATAAAAAGGTTCAGCTGCTCTTTGTAGAACAGACGTTTCTGAACCCCTTCCAAACACTGACCTTGCTCTGTATGCGTTCAATCTGGACGTTCTGAGTGTCGATTTCATTGCCCATGTCAAGTGCCATGCTTCTGAGGTTGCCAAGGATACTGCCGACCTGTGCCAAGTTTTCCTCCATTTCATCCTCCCTTGCATCGTTTGTCACTCTATCAAACAGAAACCATTGTTTATACACTGTTCAAACGTTTGGGGGTGCTAAGATTTTTTTAAAATGTTTTTTGCCCACCAAGGATGCATCTATTTGAGCAAAAATACTGTAAATACTGTTATGAAATATCATAAATTAAAACAACAGTTGTTTCTGAACCCCTTCCAAACACTGACCTTGCTCTGTATGCGTTCAATCTGGACGTTCTGAGTGTCGATTTCATTGCCCATGTCAAGTGCCATGCTTCTGAGGTTGCCAAGGATACTGCCGACCTGTGCCAAGTTTTCCTCCATTTCATCTTCCCTTGCATCGTTTGTCACTCTATCAAACAGAAACCATTGTTTATACACTGTTCAAACGTTTGGGGGTGCTAAGATTTTTTTTAAATGTTTTTTGCCCACCAAGGATGCATCTATTTGAGCAAAAATACTGTAAATACTGTTATGAAATATCATAAATTAAAACAACAGTTGTTGTTTTTTTTAAGTAATTCATTCCTGTGATAGCAAAGATACATTTTTTGCATCCATTAGCAGAATTCAGGGTCACATGAACCTTCATTCTATACACTCTTAAAAATAAAGGTGCTTCACGATGCCATAGAAGAACCTTTTTGTCTAAATGGTTTCATAAAGAACCTTTAACATCTGAAGAACCTTTCTGATTCACAAAAGGTTCTTTGTGGTGAAAGAAGGTTCTTCAGATTATAAAAAGGTAAGAAAGAGATGGATCTTTAAAGAACCTTTGACTGAATGGTTCTTTGTGGAACCAAAAATGGTTCTTCTATGGCATCGCTTGAAGAACCTTTTGAAGCACCTTTATTTTTAAGAGTGTATGTTCAAAACAAATGTGCTGCTTAATATTTTTTGTGGAAACTGTCAAATATTCTTTGATGAATGTAAAGTTCAAAAGAACAGCATTTATTTGATTTATTATTTTGTAACATTATAAATGCATACTGTCGCATATGATCAATTAATGCATACTAGCTCCAAAAAATATTAAAGGTTTTTTATTATTATTATTTATTTATTTTAAATCTGAATAGAGCCCATTTAAGGAGGAGAAACCAAAGTTATGGCACCTTCTAATATATCCACCGCTCATGGTCATCTTCTCTCTTTCATCCACAACTCGAGAAGAGGGCTGGCTAGACACCACCCCATCTTGATTATTACCCCAAACCTTCTTATACGCCCCACTTGCTCCGAAGTCCTTTAGTCTGAGAGAAGCCATATGAGAAAGACAAAGTTGACAAGATTAGTCATACCAGTTGTTAATAACTAAAACCTTGAGAAACTGACATTTAAGCTGTAACTGCCTAAATTGTCGTTGAGGATTCAACGCGGACTCTGAAGATACATGTTGGTGTTGCATCTGTTTTGAATGAACCACACAAAAAAAAAAATCACAGTACACATTATTTGGTTGGAGACTGTCTTACTCTAGTTATGTAATTTAAGTCATGAGTTGCATGAGTTCGATGTTAAAGACCATCGAGGGTGCATATTTTGATTTAAAACTTTCTCTGGTATTGTTCCTTTCACAACAACTCTTATATAGAGCAATCTATATTTATACACACTACCAGTCAGTTTAGGAATAATTAAGATTTTTACAAATGTTTTTGAAAGTCTTTTATGCTCACCAAGGCTACATTTATTTGATCAAGAATATACAGTAGTAAAAACAGCAATTTTGTGAAATATTATTACAATTTAAAATAGCCTTTTTCTATTTTGATATATTTTGAAATATAATTTATTCCTGTGTTGGCAAAGCTGAATTTTCAGCAGCCAATACTTCAGTCTTCAGTGTATGATCCTTCAGAAATTATTCTAATATGTTGAATCTTAATTATTCCAAACTATGAGTGTATATGAACAATATAAAAAAGACAATACATCCAACCAGTTTCCTGTGATTTCCTGAGTTCACACAAAATGACCAAGGCATGCAAAGTTTTCATGCAAGTACACTAGAAGCCGAGCCCCTCCAAACATCACATACTTATCACAGGAGCACAGACCGCAGCATTTGCCCAGATCTGTAAGGTTTTTCTCAGCTTCCCTCATGTCCTGGTTAATGTGGTCCAGCCCTTCCTCAGTCCGCTCAAGTTGCTCTGGATGATGGAAGGTGGGATCACAGGGTATGGAGGTTTCAGGGGTTAAAGCATGGAGACGAGATAAAAAAAAACAAAAACAGCAACAGTTTTCTCAGCAAGAAGCGCCACACACTCATAAGCGACTAAACATCTAGCTCCAAATGACAAGCTAAACAGACAAATAACAAAATGATGTTATGAATATCTACATAGTTAAAACACTGCCTTTGTTGTGTGAGCACAAGTTGCACAACTTTTAGGTTTATTTAAAATGTTCACATGGGGTACTGCATGAACCTTTGCTCACAAAACGGCCAAAAAAAGACTAACATGTAGCAACATCAAAGCAGGGCAGGTTATCCAATGGGACAGATGCATGGGCAGAGAAGTGACATCATTGACCGCCAAGCAGCCATGGCTCAGGGGTCGGGGAGGAGACCTACTTTGTACATGGCCAGATGCACAGACCACAACACCTGGCCATGTCAGTTAGATTTTTCTCAGCCTCCTTCATGTCCTTGTTGATCTGGTCCAGGCCCTCTTCTATGCGGTCCAGTTGCTCTGCCCATGCAAGGGAGATGGGGGAGGGCATGGGAGGCAGGAGGAAGGGGAATTGAAAGGGGAAATATGCAAGCATGCACACAAAAACACATAGAGGGTACATATTTCCATATGAACAGAATCATACATGGCTGTATTTATATATGTCGTACTGAAAGGACGAGTAAATAGCAAAAGATGAAGAACACACGGTTTACTACCACATCGTGTGCAATATCGAAAAACAAGTCTGTTTACTCCTTGGCTGATTGCTAGTTGGTCAGATTAGTTCTTAAGACACAGTCTTAACACAGAGACTAAGTTTATGCAACTGGACCCAGGTTTTCATTGTGGTCTCAGGCTGAATCTGTCCCATGTTGACAAAGCAGTTTCCACTGAGATACAAACTGATTTGATATCATCCACAACAACTGTTCAACAAAACAGGATGAGGTAACTGCAATTATGAGACATAATATGCATGCTGTTATGAATAATCACTCACCTCCTCCAACAGAAGCTTCATGTTTCTGGTGATCTCAAGGGACTGTCAGAGGTAAAATTTCAAAACACGATGGTCATTAAAGAACATAATTTAAAACTCAGTACAAAATATAGTTATAAATTATATTGAAAATGACCTCAGAGGACTCACTGTAATATTGTTGTAGTGTTCAGCTAAGCTGATTGTCTTGTACATTGTATTGGACTTTTAGAATTAACAAAAGACAACAATATAGGCCCACAGGTAGAATTAAAAAACAATTTAAAATGATTATTTCATGTGCATGTTTTTTTTATCTGGTGAGTAGCCATGTAAGAAGTGTTCTGTGTCAGGGTCCAGATCACCCCATTGGGATTTAATTATCAGACAGTACATTATCCATTAAGTAACACCCAGTGGAAAATCTGATCTGGCAATGAATAATGGCTTAATTTACGATCTACCTCACTTCGTCACAGTGGGAATCATAATAATGCTGCAGGTGCATATAGAATGTGTTTAGCGTCATCATCCTGGTTGCTATGTACCATGGGAATAACTAAGACCTGTAGTAACCTTAATGGAAAATGTTTGATGTCAGAACTAGGCCTGTTAATGAGCAGCCTCATCAAAACAGGGCAGAAAAACACACACCAGCTGAAGATCCACATAAATCAATGCAAATCAACGTTGAACTTTGCTACTTTGGTGATTGTTAGCAGCATTACCTCATCTGTCACCTGATTGGCCCTCCTCTGCAGCTCCTCCACTTCAGGTCTCATGGAGTCGGCAGCCATCCTAGCTGAGAACTGCAGCAGGGGGAGGACAGGTCGAGGGATGTGGTTATTCTTAGAGTAAAGGTTTTATAAGCTCAGCATGCCTCAGATTGACAGCAATAATTGGTCTGGCACAACAGAGAAGAAACGGCACAGCTTACGTGTTGCATAAAATCAGACCCCCTCATGCAACACCAAAACTATCATTAATTAATTGCTAGGTGCATCTCGGAATCAGCATGCATCCTGAACATTAGGCTGGAAAATTATACATCTGGACAAACCTTAACCAATCCTTGAGCTTACATTGTTTAGAGGGTGTGTTTAAGCTGTCACAATGTCTTGCACACCTTTATTTCTTGACTAAAGAAAAACAGCAGTTGGCATTTGAAAAAGCAATGAGGCTGCATTATTTTGCACCCTTTGAGGCATCTTCATGATACATGTTCATGTTCAGTGGCAAATAACTTGAAATATGAACATGAACCAAAGATGTAAAATGAAAATATACAAATATATGTTGTATTAAAGGAATAGTTCACTCAAAAATGAAAAAAATTACTCACCCTCATCCAAGAGGTAAACAACTTTCATTCTTCATTGGAACAGATTAGGAGAAATTTAGCATTACATCACTTGCGCAGCAATATTATGGATTATGGACTTGTATTTTAGCCAAAAGCAATGGTTTGAAGCTAAAAACGTCTTGATGGGATTTGTTTTTTTACAAACATGCAGCTTTCCGCTTCACAATATGTTAATTCATGCACTGGAGTCGTGATTACTTGTGAATTATTGTGGTTTTTAATCAGCTGTTTGGACTCTCATTCTGACGGCACCCATTCACTGCAGAGGATCCATTGGGGAGCAAGTGATGTAATGCTAAATTTCTCCAAATCTGTTCTGATGAAGAAACAAACTCATCTACACCTTGGATGGCCTGATGGGGACTGAATTTTCATAAACATATTTTGTAGTCCTATGATTTTAAGGGAAACATATCTGTAGAACATCAAATCCCCCCACACGCCACTCCACACAAATCTTTTCTCATTTTTATTAGATTATAGCTACCTATTGTCTGGTTCACCATAGAATCATTCAGGTGTACAGCTTGTAAGAAACAGTTGATCATATGCGGACCAAAAATCATGTCATGGCATATGGGTAACATCTATAATAACAAGAATGGTGGGCTCTCACCTTTACCAGAACACTAATTAAAAAGTTCATAATCCTTGTGGTTCAGGACAGTGGAAGAGTTATGTCAGTAATTCAAAACAAATGTAAATGTTGTTCACAGGTTCATAATTATTTTAGAATGCAAGTTATCATGAAATGCATTAATACAGATTCTGAAACAGTTGAAAATTGTTTTTTTATAATGTTTTTGAAGAAACAAATAGCATCAAACCCACAATACTTTTATAAAGGGTAAACTACTGAAATGACAAAGTTTCAATGTGCAGATTCTCCCACTTGATAAGACAGCCCACTACAAGAATTCCACCGGACTCCACTCATTGACCATACTTGCTTTCTTTTATTTGTCAGATTTGTTTTGATGCAGTGATCAATCAGCCAGTCATTAGTCAAGCAGTCATTAGCCAAGCAGGTGAAAAACACAAACACCATTGTAAGAGCACGAACAAATAGAATCAAAAATACCAAGCAAAACTTGCATACAAAAATTTTATTTTTTTAAATTAACAAAGAATGTCATACAAGTAGACAACAAATATTTAACCGTTTATATACCAAACTACTTTTTAAATAAATGATTTTAAACATCCTTTTTACAACTTTTAAATTTAAATATACTCCCTATATCAGGGGTGGCGAACGTCGGTCCTGGCGAGCCGCCGCCCTGCAGAGTTTTGCTTCAACCCTAATCAAACACACCTGAACAAGCGAATCAAGGTCTGAACGGTTATTAGGAAGCTACAGGCAGGGGAGTTTTAATTAGGGCTAGAGCTGAACTCTGCAGGGCAGCGGCTCTCCAGGACCGGAGTTCGCCACCGCTGCCCTATTTTCACAAACCAAACTAATGATATTCAAATACAACATGATTGAACAAACAACCCAAGTACAAAATATTAAGCTCACCGGCTGCTTCTTCAGTCTGTTGTAGTAGCTTAACTCTGCACAAAAAAAGGAATCGTTTTCCTGGTTCAAACCACTGCTACTCTACATAAAGTCTGTTCTACCCTGCTAATTAATAGATTAAATTAACTACCTTCACCTGGTGTTCTCTCACTAGTGAATTCTAGTGCACTCTGGCTTGTGCACTCTAGTTAGGAAGGGCGGAGTAAGAGCAACCAACAGTTTGCCACAACACCTCCCACTGGAACAGCTGGAAAGATTGCAAAACTTCACGGCAAACCTATGGTTAAAACCCCTTTCCTGGGCAGGGCCTTTTTCCTGAGCCTCCTGTCTGCTCTTCAACTGGCAGCAGGACAACTAAGCACCGAACATCCCTGTGCAGAATTATGGGCTGAAAGTCCTTCTGGACTTTAGAGGTTGGATGATTGAATGCTGCAGATTTCACAGGTCTCACCTCAGGTTTCATCACAGAGACACAGTAGCTTGGAACCATCTTGACATTCACATCCCGCACGACACCTCTGGAGTCTGGGTTAACATTTACAACTCTTCCAAGCTTAAACTGGCCCCTCAAAGCATTCTGATCACACACCCAAACGATATCTCGAACTGCAACATTCCTTTGTAAGGTATGCCATTTGCTTCTCACAAACATGTTGGGACCGGCGAACTGGCTCCAAGACCTCCAGAACCTGTTGACCTGGCACTGCATTTCCCGGAGTCTTTTGTAGGGGTAGCTTATGAAGTCAAATGTTTTAAAATCGCCACTC